CCTCTGGACCCTCTCGATGCTGTCCACATCCCTCTTAAAGTGCGGCTCCCAGAACTGGACGCAGTACTCCAGCTGCGGCCTGACCAGTGCCGCATAGATGGGGAGGATCACCTCCTTGGACCTGCTCGAGATGCATCTGTGGATGCATGACAGGGTGCCGTTGGCCTTCCTGACCGCGTCCCCACACTGTCGGCCCATGTTCATTTTGGCATCAATAATGACTCCAAGATCCTTTTCTGCCTCTGCACTGATGAGAAGGGAGTTCCCCAGCCTGTAGGTCTGCTGCTGGTCCTTCCTCCCCAGGTGCAGCACCTTGCACTTGTCAGTGTTGAAACCCATCCTGTTCTCATCCGCCCACCCCTGTAACCTGTCCAGATCTAGTTGCAGCCTGTCCCTCTCCTCCAGCGTGCCCACCTCTCCCCACATCTTAGTGTCATCCATGAATTTGAATAAGGTGCTTTTTACCCCCTTGTCCAAGTCACTAATGAAGATGTTGAACAGCGCGGGCCCGAGGACCGAGCCCTGGGAAACCCCACTGCCCACATCCCTCCAGGTCGAATAAGACCCATCTACCACCACTGTCTGGGTGCGGCCCTCCAGCCAATTGGCGACCCATCTGACTGCGTAGGTATCGATGCCACAGTCCCCTAATTTCTTAATGAGAATGGGGTTGGAGACAGTGTCAAAGGCCTTCCTAAAGTCCAGAAAGACTACATCCACCGCGACACCCGCGTCCAAGGATTTTGTGACCTGGTCGTAGAAGGCCACCAGGTTGGTCTGACAGGACCTGCCTCGAATGAACCCGTGTTGGTTTCCCCTGAGCATCCTCCCCCCTGCTGGGCCCTCGCAGATGTGCTCCTGGATAATCTTCTCAAAGAGCTTCCCCGGGACTGAGGTAAGTCTAACGGGCCTATAGTTTCCTGGGTCCTCCTTCCTCCCTTTTTTGAAAATGGAGACCACATTGGCCCTTTTCCAGTCCTCTGCCAACACACAATGTGACAGAAATGCCACCGTCTGTGTCTCTCTCCAGAAACCTGTCCCGGTCAGCTTGGCACACTGGGGTCGAATTCCTAAGGAAGACGGGATTTTCCTCCCTGCCTACGTGACAAAAGCCTGGTGCCGAGGGGGCGGTCCCTCTGGTCACCTGAGTGGGGGAGGGAGAAGCCCCTGCTCCTCTGCCCAGGTAACCAGTGATGCTTTTTAAATTAGTTGGCTAGTTGCCAACACTGCTGGCTTCTATTGGACGGGGCTGGTGAGGTCAGAAAGGCTATATAAGGGCCTGGTCCAAGAAGAAGGGGGAGAAGCCATTTTACCAGCAGGGCACAAGCATCAGGACACAGGGAGAGAGTCTGATCCAACTGAAATGCTCTCTCTCTAGAAATCTCCGAGCCAGATGTCTACCATGTTCTGGATGATACTTGTAAGTGTTTCTAGAGAGCTAGTCAGCTCACAGGGATGCATTTGCATATCAAACGGCTACCTCAGCCAGGCTGTTTTGCTCAGCGGTAATCCCTTGATAGTGCTCTACCTCTGACCCTATTCCAACCCTACCCTTTGTAACCAATAAAGTTCTTTGTACCTAGTATGGGAGACTTATTGAGGGGTGGGTTTAATTATGCCTAGGAGGCCCCTTAGGTCTGCGGACTAAGGGAGACTATCCATTTTGGCCCCTGAATTGGGAAGGAGCCCCAAGTGCTTGTATTGGGTCGAGCACCCGTAGGACTATTAGGCCTGTGTTTCCCTGAGGACACAGGACCTAGAATGTCCCTTCTCGGGGTGGTGGCAGGACATTACCCCCGGACTCTGCAGTGGGGCTCGAAAAGGGGTCTGCAAGGGCTTAGGCGCCCCTGGGGAGACACATGGAGTCCAGAAGGTGGACGGGCGAGGTGAGGTGGGAGGCTCAACGCAGGAGATCCCCCGCCTGGCCTGCCACAGTGTCGGTGTCAGCCTGGAAAGATGTGGGCAGTGGAGTCCCTCAGGGCTCAGTTCTGGGGCCGGTGCTGTTCAACATCTTGATCAGTGATCTGAACGAGGGGGTGAAAAGCACCCTGTCCAAATTCGTAGATGACACAAAATTATGGGGTGCAGCTAACACCCTGAAGAGGAGGAACCAGATCCAGGCTGACCCAGACAGGTTAGTAGTTGACAGAGCCAATCGCACCTTGTTGTGCATCCATAGGTGCTTCACAAACAGGTCCAGGGAGGTGATTCTCTCTCTCTATGTGGCACTGGTCAGGCCATAGCTGGAGTACTGTGTCCAGTTCTGGATGGTGCAGTTCAAGCGGGATGCAGACAACCAGGAGAGGGTCCAAAGAAGAGCCACTCACCTGATTAGAGGCCTGCAGGAAAGGCCCTACAAGGAAAGGCTAAGGGACCTTAACCTCTTCAGCCTCTCCAAGAGAAGGCTGAAAGGAGACCTCGTGGCAGCGTTCAAATTCGTAAGGGGGGAGCAGCACAAAGCAGGCGATGAACTGTTCACCAGGGCACCCCCTGGAAGGACAAGGAACAATGGCCATAAGCTACTGAAGAGGAGGTTTAGACTGGACATTAGGAGAACGTTCTTCACGGTCAGGTTTATCTTCAGCCTCTCCAAGAGAAGGCTGAAAGGAGACCTCGTGGCAGCGTTCAAATTCGTAAGGGGGGAGCAGCACAAAGCAGGCGATGAACTGTTCACCAGGGCACCCCCTGGAAGGACAAGGAACAATGGCCATAAGCTACTGAAGAGGAGGTTTAGACTGGACATTAGGAGAACGTTCTTCACGGTCAGGTTTACCAGGATCTGGAATGGGCTCCCAAGGGAGGTGGTACTCGCCCCATCCGTGGGGGCCTTCAAGAGGAGACTGGAGAGGCACCTGGCTGGGATCACGTGACCCCAGGGTTGGTGACCCTTTTCTTGCCTGCCCGGGGCAGGGGGTCAGGCTAGACGACCCACTGAGGTCCCTTCCGACTCTATGAATCTATGAAACCTGCTTGGGGAGAGGCAGTTTCTCTTGTGGAAATGGCATCTCCACCACCAGGCATCCTTGCTCCTTCACTGTCACTTCCCCCATCTCTGGTCCATCCCCCACCCCCTTGCTGTGTGCCCCTGCAATGCAACTTCCCGCTCTACCTTTTTTCCTCTTCCTCCAGAAGTAAATGGCTGCAGCAGCCGTGGCTCCTGCTCCAATCAGGATCCCCAGGATGGCTCCAACCATGGCACCAGTCTGATTCCCTGCTGCGCTCGGTCATCAGAGGAGAGAACGAGACAGAGCTCAGCTCACACAATCACTCTGAAGGGAGCAGGGTCTTGCCCAAGACCCCCAAGCCAGCTCCAAGCTGGACTCGCCTCTTCCCCTCCAGCTGCAGGCCTAGCATCCTTTGTGCCCCAGCTGCTGCCCTCGCAGTCATGGGCCAGGCATTGCTCCGTGATGCTGGGGATCCCTGCGGCTGCTTACGTGCCAGAAATGCAGGGGCCAGGATGCAGCAGCCCAGTACACCACCCCCTAACCCCCGCCAGGCCTGTATCTCTCTGCTCCTTGGTGCTTCAGCTCCCCTGGGAGGGCAGCAGCATTACCGCTGGCTAATGCAGCCCCAGACCATGCTGGTCTGCAGCTCAGCACCACCTGAACTCTGTGCTACCTTGGGGAGGGGACAAGGGAACTCACCTAGGACGTCCAGGGTAACGTCCTCCTCTATGGGCTGCTCCAGAGCCTCGTGGTGGATGTGGCAGGAGAAGTTGCTCCCCACGTCGATGTGGGTGGGTGTGAAGGTGTAGGTCAGGATGAGGTTGAAGGTCCCGTCTGTGTTCCTCTTGGGGCTGGAGCGGATGGAGTCGTTCAGGACCTGCCCATCTCTCATCCACACCACGTCCACATCCTTGGGGAAGAAGCCCCCCACGTGGCACAGGAGGGAGGTCTCAGCGTCAGCCACAACTGGTTGTCTCGGGATGGAGATCGTTGGGGCAGCTGGAAAACAGAGAGTCAGTGCGTGTGTGCAACCCAGGGTGGGGCATGTGTCCTTCCACTGTCTGGGTCAGGCTGGCACTGGCCCACTGAGGCCACGTGAGGCCTGGGCCCTGTCTGATGCTCAACGGACAGACCCCCAGGCAGGCGTCACTGTGGGTGTGTGGGTCTGGGGGCCTGGGAGAGGATAGCACTGCCCGTGCCAGCACTGTACACCAGGCCATCTGTCCATTGCGTAAGGCTTCCCGCTGCTCCTGGGGTGAGGGCAATGGACCTGCCTGTGGCTGGTGCTGGACATGACCACAGGAAAGAGGCCCCCGGGGTCTGAAGAGCATTGCTCATTCACCACCTCACTTGCACGTGGTGCAGGTTTGTGTCTTTGTCTCCCCACTCACCCACCCAGATTCGGTCCCAACCGGGTCACAGCCACCCCGTGAGCTCCTCTCCGGTCCTCACCGAGCAGGTGCAGGATGGTTTCCCCTTGGTGCTGCTGTGTCCCGTACCCCACAACACACCGGTACAAGCCCCCATCAGGCACAGTCACCACAACTAGCGACAGGGAGGCGTCTCCGCTCTCCAGCTCCTTCTCCGATGGCAGGCTGGCTCTGGGTTGTTCCTGGCTCCTGCCCTGGTCGTACCAGGCCAACTTCTCCTCCCAGAAATACCATGTCACCCTCAGAGCGTTGAGGGCCACGGGCCCCCCGACATCGAACCGGCACTGCAGCAGGGCCCCCGAGCCCACGCGGGCCGTGGAGGAGGGCGCCACGGTCACCTGCAGCTGGGAACCTGCCAGGGGAGAGGAAGCAGCCGTGAGACCCCGCGGGGCTGGGCCGGTGCAGGGGAGAGGCTGGCCAGGGCAGCACAGCCCGCTGCGGGGACCTGGTGCAGGGAGATGGGGGCTGGGAGGGAAGGGGCCTGCTGAGCTCGGGCCAATGAGGCTTCACATCCACACGCTGAACTGCCCCCTCTCCCTCATCCGCACTGTTCTCCCAAGGGGTTTGGCCAGGCTGCCCCAGGGCTTCACACCTGCCCCAGCACCCAGCTCCCCCCACACCCACACCAGGGAAGCAGCGGGACTGGGATGACCCCGTGGGGCAGGGAAGAGGGGAGACAGGAGCAGGGCCATGGGAAGGAGCAGGGTGCCCAGGCGCTGCCCCAGGGCTGCATCTTTCCCCCTGTCCTGCCAGAGTCCTTGTCCCTGGGGCTAAAATGAATTCCCAACAGCTCCTGTCTGGCTTTCGGTTTCACTTGGGAAGGAGCCAGGCCCTAGCTGGGATCAACCGAAAGGTTCTCCATCCTGTGCCAGGAGCTGAAATGGGTGTGGGACCGGGTCCAGGCCCAGCTCTTGCCCATCTCCACAGCCCCGTGGCTCTGAGGAGTGCAGGGGAGTCAGCCCAGGGCCTCCCCTGCCCTGGGAGCTGGATCCCAGGGCAGACTTGGTGCTGGGGGCTGTGGGGAACCCGGCCCCTCATGTTCCTTGCCCGGGGTCTCCTCCAAGGGCCTCAGTGTTCCCGATAGCCCAGACCTATAGCCCTGGGCAGGGAAAGGTGCACAGCAGGAGTGGCTATGTGCACTTTGGGGTCCGGTCCATCAGCTCCTCCAGGTCTCAGTGTCTCATAGTTTCATAGTTTCATAGTTGGTCGAGTCAGAAGGGACCTAAGCAGATCATCAAGTCCGACACCCTGCCGTGGCAGAATAGAGAACGGGTCAAACGACCCCAGCAAGGTGTTCATCTAACCTCCTCTTAAAGACCCCCAGGGTAGGAGCCAGCCCACTTCTCTTGGAAGTTGGTTCCAGATACTAGACGCCCTGATTGTGAAGTAGCGCCTCTTGATGTCTAGTCTGAATCTACCCTCTGCCAGCTTGTGACCGTTATTTCTTGTCACTCCTGGGAGTGCTCGGGGGAACAGGGACTCCCCCAGTGCCTGCTGGTCCCCCCTGGCTAGTTTGTAACAGGCCACTAGATCCCCCCTCAGCCTTCTCTTGTGGAGGCTGAGCAGATTCAGGTCCCATAGCCTCTCCTCCTAGGGCCTGCCCTGCTGACCCCGGATCATGTGTGTGGCCTCCTCTGGACCCTCTCCATGCTGTCCACATCCCTCCTGACGTGCGGCGCCCAGAACTGGATGCAGTACTCCAACTGCGGCCTGACCAGTGTCACATAGAGGTGGAGGATCACCTCCTTGGACCTGCTCGAGATACATCTGTGGATGCATGACAAGGTGCAGTTGGCTTTCCTGACCGCGTCCCCACACTGTCGGCCCATGTTCATTTTGGCATCAATAATGACTCCAAGATCTTTTTCTGCCTCTGCACTGGTGAGAAGGGAGTTGCAACGCAAAGCTGGAGCTGCTCCTGCCCCACCCCACAGGGCTGCTGGAGCTGGGGCCCACCCTGCCCATGGCCCTGGGGAGAGCAGGGGAGGGTCAGCCCTGAGCTCTGCATGGCGTGTGGGGTCCCCTCTGCTCCCATGCTGGGTGTTATGTCTAAGCTCTGTGTTCTTGGGGTAAACTGGCATGGGACACAGCCTGCCTGACTCGCATAGAATACCTTCCCCCTCCCCCCACCTAAACCAAACTGATTAAGTTGCAGTGGGAGATACACCTAAGACCCTCCAGATAAGGGTGACAAGAGTGAAACAACTGCCCTAGGTCTCATTTGCATCCGAGATGGAACCAGCTGACCATTCATTTACATGAGAGATGAAGATCAGAAAGCCTGAAGCAGAGACTGCAATGAATTCTGGGATTAGAGAAGCAGGGGAGCATGTCATGATGGGGAATCTGTGCTCCAAATGGTAATCAACCCACATTTACACACACTCAGCTCAACATTTACCAGACCAGTTCTAATCTGGATTTACAAAGGACTTCCCCCCCAGACACACACACACCTCTAAGTTTAATAGGCATCTCGGCCGTACATTCCCCAGTCCTACTATGGGAGGCCTATTTAAACTTGATTGGCTAAAACTCGATGATGGGTTAGGGAATGCTGAGGCAAAGAGACCGAGTCAGAGGGGGTACGGGCAACATTTGAACAATGGTAAACGGTTCATCACAGTATGCAGCCCGTTGGAGCCCTAATCACAGGTGTTGCCATACTTTTCCCGGGACAACTGGTGGAAGTCCTCCTGCCCAAAGGTTAAGAACACTCCAATAATTGCCTTAAGTCTGTTAAAAGACTATAGTAAGATCTGGAAAAGTCATGCTAAGCTGAGGCTTGCTCACAACAAGTGAAAATCCAAAATCCTGATGCTGCAAGCAATCTATTGTTTCTGAAGATACCATGAGCTATCCCATCAGTATATCTGCTATCCATAGGAATTTCACGCTGGCTCTCAAGTGTCTGGGTAATCCCTAACCTTATGTGTTTCCTGATTATCAATCAGTTTGTTGAGATGTTCCAAACCAGATAACCCCTTGTCAAGAGAAAAGACAATGATTTGCACTATTGAGAATGCTTTGAAGAAGCTGAACTGAGGGTATAAAAATCTGTAAAAAGCAGCAATGTATGTGTTGACACCAGCCCCTGTTGTTCTTGGGATGCTGGAAGAACAGGTCATCTCCCTTCAAGGATTGTGCTATGAACTTTACCTGTCAGCTTTTCAGCTCGAATGCCTTGGATTGGTAAGATCCCAGCGTGGTCTCTCTCTTTTCTGTCTAGGCATAAATTTCTGAACCTGAACTGTATTAGTTAAGCTTGAGCTAAGTTTCCCCAATTACTTAGTGAAACCAGGACAGTATTAGAATTGTTTGTGTGTGTTTTCTCTTTGCATGGCTATTACTACTAGTCCCATTATATATTTCATGTACTTAGCAATAAATAACTTTTATAGTCAAACTGGTAGTAACTGGGTACATGTTTCCTTCTCTGCTTCGCCTTCCTCCCGTGCTCTGTAGCAACGCTTCTTTTACCTAAGCTAAAGATCCCTGTGAAGCCCCAAAATACTGTGGGGTCTGCTCATCAAGAGGCCAAAGATTGGGATGTGCTGAGTTTGAAACACAGAAGGGGATCAGCTTGTACAGGCCGATTGACCCAGTTGGACTCAGATGTGCCCTTATGAACTGTATGTTGGCCCATGAGGGTGCCAGCTGGACACCCAGCTGGATTCAGAGGTCTTCTGTTCACCTGTGTGCTTGTGTCTGACTGCAGGTCACTGTTGCTCTGATGAACTGATACTTGGCACATGAGGGTGTCAGCCTGTCCGTGCTGATCACCCCGGCCGGGTCAGGTGTGTCATGTTAATCTGTGCGTGTGTGTGAATGACTGATTTGGTGATTGGAGGAACCCAGCCCCACTGAAACAGAGTCCTGCAAGAAAGTTCCAGTGGGTGAGGACTTGCAGAAGGGAGAGATGCAGCTCCGTACAGAAACACAAGTAACACAAGCAGCACATGGACAGAATTACCAAGACCCTAGAAACGTATCCCTAATAAATGAGCACACCCCAAAGTAATGGGCAAATCTGGTAACACTGGGTCGCAGTCCCATTGCAGAGACTCTGGCTCTTCTCAGCTCCTTGTGGCCCTAGGAGTTGCCTCAGGGACCTGGAGGACCTGGGCGGCCAGATGGAGCTGTGGACACCCTCAATGCCAACACCAGCCCCATCTCCCACACCTGGATCTCTTCTGCGTCTGTGTCCAGCGCTGGGGGAGGGCGGGTAACAGCGACTGGTGCTTGGAGCTCTCTTGGCCCCCAGTGCTCCCAGGTGCTGTCCTGTCCTCGCTGCAGACCCTTTCCCACATCACGTCGGTGTGCACCAACGGAAATGAAATCTGTGTCTTTGGTAGCAGGGATCAGAGTATTCAGGAGTCTGCTCTGATCCAGGTGCTTTTGCAAAGGAGCGCCTGGTCACTCTCATACTTAGTGGAGAAGAAGCCGTGGGGGAACGTTTGAGACATGAAGCTGTGTTGCTCAGGAAGAAACGCTCTTGTCCGGTGTCCCGGAGGTGTGTGCTCCTCAGCAGAGGTTTCTGTCACACGGGAGTCACAGCACTGGTGGGGCTGCCTGGAGAGAGTCCAGACCTGGACCTAGAGGTTGTGCACTCTTGTGCACACCTCAAACTCTTGTGAAGAGCAACAGGCTAAAACTGGTCAATGTTTGCACTAAAATAAAGCAATACTAGGGTGATTACCCAGAATTAAAACTTACACAGTTACTATTGTGGAGAGAGTCTTTCTGGGAGGCATGACCAGCTGCAACAGAGACACTGAAGAGAAAGGCAGCATTGACCAGCCAGGGTGCCCGTGTCATCCTGCCGTGGCACTGGGGGCAGCGGGGCAGCTCTGCAGGGGCAGGGGCAGCACAGGGCTGTTGGGGCAGCCATGAGGGCACTAGGGACACCCCAGGGGGAGGAGACTGTGGCTAGAGCCAGGCACCCTTCAAGAAGGAGAGCAAAGTGGATCCAGCAAACTACAGGCCCATCTGCCTGACCTCTATCCCGGGGAAGGTCCTAGAAAAGATTATCAAAGAGGCCATTCTCAACAGACTGCCCAACAGCAACATCCTGAGGGATAGCCAGCATGGGTTTGTTGCGGGTAGGTCTTGCTTGACCAATCTTATTTCTTTTTATGACCAGGTGACCTATCACCTGGACAAGGGAGAGGAGATTGATATCATATATCTTGACTTAAAAAGATATCTGAGCTGTCGCAGAGCTTCCTCTCGTGCGTGGATGACCTCTACCTGACTCAAGAAGTCTATGGGCCAATGAGAGGCAAAGCGCTGCTCGACCTGGTACTGGCTACTGGGGATGACCTAGTGATCGATGGGGAGCTGGGGGACAGCGACCACGAGCTGATCACCTTCACCATCCGCCGAAAAGCTGGCAAGTCGGTCAGCAACACGCAAATCCTTGACTTCAGGAAAGCCGACTTTGACACGCTCAGGAGGCTCGTCAGTGAGGCCCTAAGGGACCGTGACCACAGGGAGA